GAGAGAGAGAGAGAGAGAGAGAGAGAGAGAGAGAGAGAGAGAGAGAGCGAGAGAAAAAGTGCCATTCATTCAATTGTGTTGGGCACGATGTCGCCAATCCTAATAAATGATAATGAAATTTTTCTTTTTGTGCTGAGAAAGTGCTAAAATATTGACCGACATTAATCGATGCTCTGATTTAAGTTTGTCAACCTGATCCCGTTTTCAATTCGTATAACGACAAACTTGTCGTTCTATTTTTCATTCTACTTTCGTTCTAATTGCCATTTTAAAAATGTTGATAAATAAATTTTAGTGTGTCGTGAGTCTTAAAAAATGATATATGTTCATTGTAAGGCAGTGTTTCCATTCGTATAAAGAAATACCTTCCAAATTTAGAAATATCGGTTTATATTCACTCAACATGCAATTGCCTCAATAAAAAAATAAAAGGATTTTTGTTATGGTTCCAATTAAATTAGTAAAGTTATTTTGTTTTCCAATTTTACTTTTCAACACTTCGAGCCGAATCAATTGTTTCACAAAAATCGTGCATGCCACAAGACTTCAGTCCAACACGATTGGCTTCCGATGTACAAATGTTATGTTTGCATGAAAATCCTAATTGCTATCAACGCTGAAAGCAAGTTTTTTTACTCTACTCTCTCTCTCTACAGCTGGAACGAGCTATCCTTGATTGTATGCGAATCGAACTGTTCTAGTACATGTATGTGGATGATGATGAATTTTTTTTTCATATTTGAGTTGGAGGTCGTTCAATGTATGTCTGAAATATGCTCCAGTGGCAACGTCACATTTTATGTCATTTATAAATATTTATTAACCAGAATTGTGTCCATAGTCATTGTTTACTGTCATAACATACAGTTGATTGCATTTGTATTTTACAATCCACTATTGTACAACTGTATGTTATCCCAGTTGGGAGTAAGAATGGCACGCGCGTCGCACGAATTGTTGCTCATTTTGTTTTTGTTGTTCTGTTGAGTTGAACAACAGAGAAAGTCCAATATTCAGCTGAAAGATTTTTATCAAAAGGGCACAATTGTGTTCCACTGATGTTTATATTTTCGATTTTGTTCCGCTCTAAATTTAGAACAACAACGCAAAATTATATAATTAAGAGACAGCGTAAATATTTATTATATTAGATTGTTTTGTCCAGTTGATTGTCAGTCCATTCTTTATTGCATCTAAATTATTGAAATTCGATTTACCGTTCAATAAAACTAACATCTACTTATCATTATTGACGTTTTGCCATAACAAAATCCATTCAGTTCGGCTTGCGTTACTTAATTTTTGATTGAATGTGCGCGATAAGCATAATCGCCGGCATTTATGTAAATACCATGTAATGTTATCATTTTGTCTCGATTTTCGGAGGCAGTTATAGTGCGCTTCTATTTTTTTGGTAAATAAGCGAACATAATGTGGCATTGTGATTATCGAAAGGAATTTCGTATCGAATTGTTTGGATGATAGATAAACAAATATACATAATTACACACAAAATAACAGAAAAGAAAATGTTATCGTCAAACAGTGAACAATTTCACTGTCCAATGGAAAATTGACCACTTTGAAGGAGGTGCACTGATTTTTATACATCAAATCAAGTTGATTGAAACACGCTTTTGTGGCACAAATTAGTTTTCACTAATTGGCGTTTGTTTCCTATTACTTTCGACACGATACATACAGTGCCAAGTATGAGGAACTGAATTTATTAAATTACTGGAAACAACGAAAATGCAAATCTGATTAAGTTGCATCTTACTTTCGAAATGTTAAAGTCACATGCAGCAATAGTTCTAACACAATATATTTTTATCACCTGTAAAACAGCGTTAATGTTGTGTAATTTTTGACTTTAAAATTTCTGAACGAAGTGTGAAATGAAAATATCTTACACGTGATACGGATTAACGAAGAAGTTGGGTAAAGTGCGCACGCCACCACTATTCATGACAATGAATTTTTTTCATCGTTCGCCTTACAATGAATAGGAGCGTGACTTCTTCATATTTTCCCATACAATAAACAACTCCATTGAAATTCTCCAGCTACATATTCAGTGTGAATTGTTTGATTATAAAGTTGTTGTTTTTTTTACAAAATATGTGCGGTCAACAATTACTTGTATTTAGATGATATATGCATATCGAACTATTTTTCAACGCACATCTTACACACCACAAGTGTGATACATTGATAAAGTTGTTAATTGGTTCAATTCACATTTATGTTTGACTTCAGATCATTTGTGTATTATCACACTCACACACACACACCATTGAGCGAAAATAGACGGCTTGTGATTCTTCAGTTGGTATAAAATTGCAACCTCGATTCCAATTTTGTATGAATTATATCTATACAATTTCCGAAGGTAGATGACTCGTGTTTTTGTCTATTTCTGTTTGTTTTTTTTACTCCGTTGGTTGCGTGCTATTCACATTAACTGTCGCGAGTATATTGAACGACCAACATCAATTGTGTGGAACGGTTTCACTTCCAAGCGCAATGTCTTACTTTTTGTTGGAATTGGTTTTCTTGATGACAATAATAATAAATATAATGAGGGGAAGGAAATGGTATTAAAAAAGTTCACACGATTCGGTCACATGCAAATGAATGGAAAAACTTCATTATAACATGTCGATGGTTCATTAAGGGCTGTAATTATTCACACGTATTTTGTTTTTATTGTATATTTGAAACGAATAATGGATTGAAATAATCTCTCGAAATTTCTGTGCCGTCGATTCGTTGATCATTTTTTCCATTAAATGGTCAAAACACCATACAAATTTGATGTTTGCCATCTTTTTCGGGTATTTGGTAGTCTGTTTCTTAGTATCGTTCATACATTATAATCAAAGTTCACTTTTGACTCCTTAAGGTCATTTTTTTGTATGTTTACATTCATTCCATTACATATTTCAAATGACGTTGACATTCATTGTAATCACCTTTTTTTGTACAACGTGAACGTCATTCTCATGCTATTCCGTGGCTGCTTTAAACGATTCACGTGGTGTCGCAGCGTTTAAAAAACAAAAGCCCAATTAATAGAAACCCATAAAAAAACCTGTGATGTAAATTCATTTTCCAATACTGTCGTTTTGTATATGGTGGGTTTTTGCGCCTCTTTTTTTACATTGACCTTGAAATCTCTCTTGATGGCCTTTCTCAATTGTATACTTTTCAATAGCACGAACACTTTTACATTCGGCATAATTTTATTAAAAACAAATTATTTTGGGATATTTTTTGAAAGGTTGGTGAAGGTATTGCATGATGGTTTGTTTGAAAAGGGAAAATATTCTATAATTTTTTTTTGCTATTTCGGACATTTAGGTCAATGTTGAAATGTAAATTGGCCTAAAGTTATTGTTTTCTATTTTTGAACTTTGCCACAAAAAGATATATCAAAAGCATACCACGCGTTAGAGAATATGAAAACAAAAAAAAATTATCATATTTCATTGAATATAGCTGATGAATGAGCGTGTATTCTCTTCTATCATCGCAGCAAATATTTGTATAAGGTTAAATGCAATATTGCTTTTATACATTCACTTTGCGCGCTTCTTTCTACTTTGTTAATTGATTCATTTCGAAAAAGTTCTCTCGGGCTATTTTATATTCCAAGTTGATTGAAATGAGCGAAAAAAAGCATTAAATGCATGCAATCTTGACCTAACACCTGAAACAAAAAAACTCATTATCAATTTAAATAATTTGTTGTTGTTGTTTTGATGAAATTGAGTGCTTTCAGTGGTCGAGTCAACATTGTAAAAGTCATTAATAGAAAATAGAACGTTAATAATTGATGACTTTCATTAATACCGATCCGTAGTAGCTTATTTATAGCAACACACATTTCGAATCGATGGCATTTGATTCCGAAACCATTGGCGCCATTCTCTGTACAGGTGACGAGCTCATTTTTATAATGATTGCGTTTGAAAACTAAATTTGACCACATATTGCCATATCGTATCGAATGGCTCGGTAAAAATCGAGAAAAAAATGTGCTCAGTGAGACTATTATTGGAAGCGAACACGTCTTACAAAAACTAATTAGTTGTTAAACTCCAACGAGATAAAAAAAAACATTTCACTAATACTTTCGAGTAATAATAAAAACAACAACAAATCTATTTACGACAACGTATATATTTTCATCTTATGAAGATGATTCGATTGACATTAAAAACTATTGATGTCAATTGCTATTATCATACAAAGTGATGAATCAGCACAGTTGAGATTTTCAATTGAAAATCTTTAACTACAAAATGCTACAGTAATCATTGAATTACTGTAATTGCCATTTAAAGCCGAGACAGTATGAGGGCTACTATAAGCATATGCAATGTGCATTCGTAGTTGATGTCATACAATTTTAATGGCACGCTTTGTCACTGCTGCATACGAAACATTCTTATGTATCATTATTTCGCCAAAGTAGCGATATCTACTGTTGACAACATGCTCGTGTTTAATCATCAGACCCATTGCTGTGAAGTTCACAGTACGAAGACGACGTGTTTACGGTGTCGACAATCCCATTTATTTGAGGCACTTATCATTTATTTTTATTTAAAAAAATTATACGATGCGTCGTTAAAAATTCACGAAATAATTGTATATGATGTGATAAGATGAGGACGCAAAAAAACAAATCTATAAAGAAATTCACCAAAAAAATTAAATGATTTTGGTCATTTTCTAAAAATATACAAGCAACTCCCACAAATACGTGTTTGAAAACTCATTTCGATGGTTTATGTCACTTAGAAAAATAAAGGCTGAACTCTTCGACATAGACTAAAGTGACGCTATTCTTCTTGAGATAAAGAACAAATACAGACCGAAAATAAACAAAATCGGCTTAACAAGAACATGCGTATGAAAATTCAAAAACAGAATATAACAATAAAAATAAAAATGCAGTCAATGACTCACCAGGCTTTAAAAATCTCACTTTTGGTACAGTAAACATAACGTTATATGATTCGATTTTTGAGGTTTTCACTTTTAAATGAAGCGTTCCACTCGAATATATTAAATTGTATCGTTTTTATCTGTTCGTTTAATGCACAATTCAGCCAGTGCTAGTAATGTTATTTAAGTTCTATGGTGAGTATAAAACGCAACTCGCGACGACGGATCAAGTGTTGATTTATTGAAGCCGTGCGCATGTGATTGGTTCAAAAGTCTCGCTCGAATGATTACAGCTGATATAAAATAACGAGAAATATGATTCTTTCCACTTGAATTATTTATAGTATCTTTTTTTTGAGTCTTCGATATGAATTGAAACTTCCCGTTACACACAAATATCACATTCCATGCATATTCTGTTTTTTGCTCTTCTTAGATTGTTTTCCGGTTAGTTAGTTGCGATTGTAGATTTCTTGACATGAATTTCACCGTTGATTGACCGCTTCAATGACAAATCAATATATGCTAAAAACGGCGATTTAATTGGATTTAAATGGATTCCCCTTTATTCGGTATATTCCTATTTGTCCCACTTAAATCGCGCAAAATGGCCACATATAAATAAATTATTGAAAAACGTTTTTTTAGACAGCAAAATAAAAACAACAACAGCCACAATATTCGAAAACTCGTTTTCTTTATGCAGAAAAATTCTTGGTGCTGTAAGTTACATCGATCACAATTTTTTTTAAAAAACCAGAATTTTTTTTGTGTTTAGTCTGTTTTGTTTTGAATTCATTAATTCAGACATTGAAATGCTTGATTAAACATTCGCTAAACGCCTTCACTAACACACATATTTTGGAATTTCATCAATGATTATACGATGAAACACAATCGCAATGAACTGAGAAAAAAATGATGCTGTACACATCACAGATGGACACTTATTTTCACCACACAAATCGTATTGTAAACGAAATTCTACAAATTCCACACTAACTAACAAATAAAAATATGACTCCAATTCACGCAACTCTTTCCATCAACACCGAAATCGAAACAAACTAATTTCTATTATTATTGTTCAACAGAATTTAGATGGAATTTAATATTTTTGGTCGTTTTATTCGATATATTATTCGATTGAACTAAAAATGCTGATGATGGTGTGTGACATTGTTGACGTCTCACTTCGTTCTGAACGTAAATCGCGACATCGACTCACACTTAAGAAACAACGCAACCAACGAAATATTTTCAACTCACAACACTACCAACTGTATGATGTCGTATGCTCCGCTTCGTTGAGTACAACCAACATGCAGTGAGCGAAAAGTGATACGAGTTAGAGTGAATATACGCGCGAGAGAGAGCGAAATGGTGTTGGTGAATGAAATGAGAGCGAATACAAACAGTTGTAATGTTTGGACGAAAATTTGACATTTGAGTGTCAGTCCGTGGAAAAACCTAACCTCAAAAAAAAGGTTGGTTCAATTATCGTGTCTTTGGTTGGTGAGTCGAAACGCAATTTTCGAATGAAAAAATTTTCGTCAATAAGACAAATGTCTTTACAGATTTAGAATGACTGATGCTCAAACGAACAACCAAGTAAACGCTGAAGATTTGGAAGATAAAGTTGATTTAATGCTACAGAAGACCGGCTGTCAAGATCTCCATTACAAAGTCCAAGTAATCTCTTAATCCAGAGACATATCGTCGCAATGTAAGATTTCATTGTTTTTAATCTGCCTGTTTGTGGTCGTTTTTTTCCTTCCAGGAGTGCATTGCTGAAACTCAAGATTGGAGAAAGTGTCAAGAAGTAGTAAAAGAATTTCGAAATTGCATGTCAGGTTATATATTTAATTTTGTACCATATGGGTGTGAATAAATAATAATAATGAAAATATTTTTGATTTCAGGTTATATGGAAGAGCAACGCAATAAATATCTGACTAAATAAATTTCATTATCTTTTTTCCCCGTAAATTAAAAATTTAAATTCTTCACGTAAAAAAAAATATTCCAAAAAAATGGCTAAATTTTTTAAGTCAATTTTTCAACGAACGTCGACGGCATTGAAACTAAGCGAACCCATGCAAATGAGTTTGGTCGTTCGGAACGATTTGAAAATGTCGCCGGGAAAAATTGCAGCACAATGTGCCCATGCGGCTGTTATGTGCTATGAAAAAGCCGCAAAAGCAAAACCGGAACATCTAAATGCATGGATCCATCTTGGGCAACCGAAAATTATTTTACGTGTTTCGACGCAAGGGGAAATTGAATATTTAGCCAAAATCGCTAATGAAAAACAAATAGTGAATGGTTTAGTACGTGATGCAGGACGTACTGAAGTATTGGCTGGCACAGTGACTGTTGTAGGTATTGGACCAGATACGAAAGCCAAAGTAGATGAAGTAACGAAAAAGTTGAAGCTTCTATAAGCGAGCATTTTGTAAATTCAGTCAAATGAAGAATAAAAGTATATTGTTTTAGATGACATTTTCGTCTTGTTTATTGATTTTTTTTTATTTGCTTTTCTCAACAGCCGAAACTATTATGTTTAAAAAAAAAAAAACAATTTTCTACAAGAAGCACATTAACAATGAAACAACTAAACTTTTAAGTCGACTAGATACCATTTACCTGAAAATTTCATCTTTAAATCTTTTACAACTGGCTAATTTATCGCTAACAATACATCATTTTAGGTATTTAATAATATCATTCTTCAGGTGTTGCTTTGGAGATATTTGGTTATGAGAACTAATGCAATGGAAGATATGAGAAATACGGTTCCGGGAATAGAGCAGCGCACTTGAATATCGGGATCTGATTTGGAAAGTATAAATCGACAGTTAGTTTGAAATCAATAACCTCTTGTTATTTGGCATACCTCTATCTTCATATACAAAATTTTTGAAGGAACTGTCATAATGGGTGTCTTGCCATGCGATGCACTTTGAAATGGCAAACTTCCACGTTCGGTACTTCATATCTTTGGCTATAAAAAAAAAATAAGACAGACTTTGATTTAAGAAAGCACAAAACATAGGATATGGAATGTCTTACTGCTCGCACACATCGTTGGTTGAAAAATTTCAATGGGCGGTGTAAACATTGTTGTCGATTTTTCTAAATGCAAAATTTCCATGGTTAAACCGGCGGCGATCATAGCCCCCAAACAGGCTGGAAATGAAGTTTGTGGACGCTCAATGCGAATGCCACACAAATCGGCCAAAAGTTGCAATAGGAATGCATTTTCGCTAAATTCACCGCCAACGGTTAAGCGCTCAATCGGTCTCCATGACGGCACATCCTTTACAAACGCTTCAATCAGATCACGGGTTTGAAAGCAAACCGCTTCATAGGCAGCAATCATGACTTGATACGCAGTCGTACGATTATTGAGGCCAAAAAGTAATCTAAATGACAATGGTTTGAGTATTAGTATGCAGAGCTCTTGAATTCTAGTTGCCGAAAACGAATTTCATCTTACCCGCTCGAATTGTGCTTCCAATATGGTGCATAAAGACCATTCAAGGCAGGAACAAAAACAATATTTGTTGATGGATTTGGATTATCGATGGCAGTTAAAGTTCCAAGATTGGATCCAGAGCTATATGTCGACAATACCGACGATTCACCCAAATAAGTTTGCATAAGTGATGCTCCATTGAGTTGCACTGTTTGATTTGGGTTCGAAGCCAGGTCATCTTTCAAGCTTAGATTATCTTTTAGCCAAGCAACGGCTGATCCGGCACAGGCGACAGACCCTTCCAGGCAATAAAATGCCTTTTTCTTCGGACCAAGCTGAAATGCAACGGATGTGAGTAGTCCATTGTTAGAATCGATGATCTCTTCGCCGGTATTCACAAGCAAATTACAACCATCATCATAATAACACGTTGATTGTTGCGGTCGAATACACATTTGTCCAAGCAATGACCCACTCTGTTCACTCAAACACTGTCGAGATAAAAAAAATAATTAACACATCGCATTTAAATCCCAAAAAAAATACAACTTACGGCTGCAATTGGGATTCCTTTCAAAGGTCCTTCATAAACATAACCAAATATCTCTGAGCAGCTTCTTATTCGGGGCAACATGGACATGGGAATTTGAAAATAATGACACAGTTTTGCATCCCAATTGAGTGTCTTCAAATTCATAAGCATTGTACGTGACGCATTTGTAACATCGGTCAAATGGACGCCATCTTCTAGTCCTCCCGTTAAATGCCATAAAATGTATGTATCCAATGTACCAAAATAGCACTCATTCTTTTGTACAGCCTCTTTAATTGAACTTTCATTCTCAATCAACCATCGGCATTTTAAACTGCTAAAACAATTGCTGAATGGTAAACCACAGACTGATTTCAATAAATTGATTTTGTTTTGGTTTTTCCTTAGGAATCGCTCAATAATTGGCGTTGTGCGGCAATCATTCCATGCTACAAGACAATTAAATTAAAATACATTTTTTTAAAGGATTTCCCACTTTTTTTCGTTTAAATACCTATGGCATTGTAAAGTGGTCGGCCGGTGACTTTGTGCCAGAGAACAGTTGTATCACGTCGATTTGTCAGAGCCAATGCACAAATGTCATCCGGGTTTATGTCTAAAATCAATAGATTTTGTACAGCCACCTGAATACATTCGAGTACATTTTGCCATATTTCCAACGGATCGATTTCAACCCAGCCTTGTTGTGTGTTTATCTCTTTCAATTGAACTTCGTGACAAGTCAATACTTCGGCATTCCGAGCTGCATACACCTGAACAATGAACAGAACGATATTCAAGGATTTGACATATTCAATATTGGATAAAAATTTAATGGGATCTCTCTTACAAGAAATTTGCAGTGTGTATGTCCGATGTAAATTGTTCCCAATAGAGCGCCAAAGCGACCGTAGTTAGACATTACTTAGAACTTCTTCCTCAACAATTCTCAAACACACCACATACACAAAACGTGCACAATACTTTCCCGATCTGCTTTAAATCTCTCTTCAAATTTCAATAATGCTGAATTTTGTGCAAATTAAAATACAAAATTTCTGTGACTGAATTACTTAAAAATATCCATTTTCTAAAATAAGTGTTAAAATCGCGTCTTCTGTCTCACTCGGTCATCGTTTGCTGCTGTGAAAACTTCAATTTGACATTGACAGTAAATGACAGCAACAATTTTCATACCGCAATTACTTTGCGAGCACTGTTGACGTGTTGTTCAAGTATACATACAATTATTGAACCCTGCATCATTTCACTTTTGAAATGAATCGAAGAATGAAAACAAAGGTTTTTACAGTTCTATGTAAACTTTTATTTCGGATTCAAAAATGAAACAATAAACTATTGATTTTTTTACGTACACTTCTTAGCTTCTGAATGAAATTGAAAAGAAATGTTTAAAAACAAATTGAAATATATAAAACTCAAAATATTTTACACTCTTTGTATTGATCTTCACATGTAACACCGCGATTTTTGAATTCATCAAATGTTGGGAGATATTTGAAAAATGCATTCATGTGATTACCGTCATCAGTTGAATTTTCGGCACTCTTTGCATTGTCATTGAATAAATCGTCGGTTGTGCTTGCCTCAGTGTCAGAGTTATTCATTCGTGATGAAACTGCTTTTTGCATGCTCCAGATAAACGGCGCTGTTTTACAAAGCAATTGTTTGACGCAATCACTGTTTGCGTCGGTTGATGTATCATCACGACCATTTCCATTGTCAACCATATTTACTAAACGCTCTGGCAGATTTTTATCCAGCATTGCGTCAATATGTTTTGATAAAAATGGGTTGTTTTTTCGTTGTTCGAGAATCCAACCGATCGTATCGTCCCAGATAGACTGTGATTCTTCGTCAACTATTTCTTCTTCAACGTTTTCGTCTTTAAAACGTCGAATTCGATCGAACACTTCGATATTTTCATTTGGTTTCGTGCCCATTCCAGTTTTTACGGTTGTGAATGCTGATATTAATGAACGACCAATCTGTGCGAATATTTTTTTTTATTAAGACAATTTTTTGAAAGCCCAAACATTTCTCGAAAATAATTTTTGGAGAAATTTTCAAATTCTCGGAAAATGTTCGGGCTAGTAAAGTAGAATCTTTTTCGTAAATTTTCAAACGAAAAATGAACTATAATGATTGTAAAAATGGTAAAAAAACGAATAAATTTAGAAACGAACCATTTGTGCAATGAAAATAATGCCATTGATTGCAATTGCTCCAATTTTGCCCGTGTCCATGCCCATGATACGTATAACTTGTCCCAAAAATCCACTGTCAATTCCAGTTGTTGGTTTGGTACTTCCAGTGATCACATTGTCCTCAATGTTTCCCTGGTCATTTGGAGTGTTTTGTTGAATATTTTGTGGTAATTCATCAAAATCTTCCAAATGATCGGACGGATATCTCTCGGTCATATGACGTCGATCCCAGCCATTATTTCGGTTTCCATTTGCATTCGTATTTGAATTCGTTGCAAACGAACGAGTGACCAATTCGGCAATGTTCGATATAATTGCGATGTTCGACGGTGAGTCGACGCCTTTTTAAATTTACAAAAAGAAAATGTTAAAATTCACTTACATTTTCAAAATATGTTATCCAAAATTTTTCATTTTCTCTTCGAATAAAATATATATATATAAATATTTCACAATTTTTTACCAAAAATTTTCCCCGCTATACTAATGCCATTGCGAATGTCGTCCGATAGACTTCTTTGAATGGTCGAAGCACTAACAAAAACTGTTAGATGCAACAAAATCAACACAAAAATACCACACAATATATGATTGAACTTCATTTTTACACAACGAATCTCATTTTACAACTAAACGAAAAACTCATTGACAACAATTCAGATGCTCTGCCATCGAGCATTTTAAAGTGATTACGATACAAGTGTGCCTGAATAAAAAATTGTGATTTCACATATTTGTCATTTGGAAAAGCACCGAGGTAAAACTTCCATTGTTAATGCTTGCACATGAAAATCGTTCACAACATATCGCAATAAAACTGAATCACAAATTACTGTGCTGCGACGCGTTTCAGTTTTCTCATTTCTATTTCGGTGATTTTGACGTCTGTCGCAGATCATCTAGGCGTAACGCAATACATTGTCAAATTGACAACGTTTTTCTTTCGCTTTTAGCATAATTTATTCTCCGTCAATGAAAAAAAAAATGAATTGAGATTTATCATAACACAATCACATGAAATGCATTTAGCGTGAGAAACGAGTTCAATCATCTTCAATCAATCACATGTTCAGAAACGAATTGCATTTCAAAACATTGCATTGACAAATTAAACGATTCCATATAATCCGACCATGTAAAAATTAAATCAAAATTAATTGTTTATTATTTGTCATAAAAATACTATAAACATATAGATATATTGGTGGCAAAATGCTTTATGTGAAGTATCAATCGGGCTGGGTCACATTACACATTTCACAAGAGCCGTTCAACGAAAGCGTTTCATTCATCAATAAATCAATAAGTGAAGCATCATTGCCGATGGTCACACAGATGACAGAGTGTAACAAAGAAAAATTGAGATATTAATTTGATTAATTTGCGGTATTGCTGCTCAATTGAAATTGAAAAATTTCTATTTTTTTTTGTTTGCCATTCAAATCTGAATTGCAAAACACCGCCAGTCTTATTAATCTCAATGTATTGTCTTTGGATACGACTTTCGGCTTCATGTTTGCACATTGAAATTCATATCCTCTAATTAAAATACCGCTTTGCTTTTGATATCAACGGTACTCCAACAGTCACTTCTTTGCTTTATTGAAATGATACTTTCTCGGGTTTTTTGTGTATTCCAAAGTACGTGTTGTGTAGGTTTCTGAATTAAAATTCTGACAAAAATACTTCGACAAACTAACAACAATGACAAACATTATGCGAATAAGTCAATTGAGACTAGTTTGTGAAAATGCGTATGGCCTAGATCTCTTATTCTCAGCTTCATAAGAATGGTTGTTTGAAAATTCCGATATTTTCGATGCATTTGCTTGCTTATAATAAAGTATGCAATGGTTATATTTCTTGAAACATTTTCAACAGTTTCATACAATTACATAACGAACCAACACACAAACTGGCTGAACTATTTCAAACGTTTTTAGATCGACTGGCACGTTAAATCCATCAAATCAACGGCTGACGATTGTTATGAAATGAGTTTTTATAAGTTCTTCTGCTGTACAGAGGTGCACGAGCAGGAAACACTACATACATACACTTGGCGTCTGCTTAATGGAGCAGCAATCGCAGCAAGAGATTTGTCGGATTAACGTACATACCAATCGCATCCAACGCACTGTTTATAAAATTCGCACAAAAAAACGCACCCGAATGGGATTAATGCATATATGCCGTTTACAAATGCTCTCGAATGTGCTAGGGGACGGACACCATTATAAATATTAGGATATTGGCGGAATATTAGCAAAAAATAGTTTGTTTTGCTTCACCATTGCTTGTTAGAGAATTGCGCACTTTGCTCACCGAAAACTTTTTTTGTTACTTTAAGTGTTTTAGTATTTAATAGAAATAAATTTTATTTTTTCTAAACCAGGAAAAATAAAAAAATGTTAAATGTTCATCTAAGAATTTATGAAAAATTCATACATGATTTCACTTTGAGATCAGCTATTTGACGTTTGAGGTTTACACTAGTG